CAGCCCAACTATCGCAACTCCTCGACCATGTCCTTCGTCATAAGTGAAGGTCCAAAATCCCACGTCCTGGATGAGCCAGCCATGTCTCCTGCCTCCTCAGCGGTTATCAAATCAGCAACAGAGGCTTGAACTCTAGAAAGATTCTCCTCAAGCCCTAATGCCTCCACACTGACAATCATACACTCTTCAAACCACGTAGACCAACCACTAGACCTAACATCGAGAAGGCGACGGTATGGCCCAAAGAAGGAAGCCCTGCACGGAGGAGGACTGACAGGCATAGCCACTTCTAAGACTCAGCAACAACCCAAATGGAGCAAAGGCAAACACCAACTAAGCGAAAACTAGGCGCAAAGGAACATTGTAGAAAGCAACAGCAGCGAAAGCGATGGCTCAGATAGGGATGGGAGGAGCCTTCACCTACCGACCCTTATATAGCCCTCGCCATGTCGTTTCAACTTTCGGGGCCAATGGTCATGTCCGTTCAAAAACACTTCGGTTTCACAGCCACCATGGTGAATCAAATAGCGACACGTCACCAACATAGCGGTCTGATCCAGGCATCCCATGGGGGAAAGGGGGGAAAAGCCTACACGTGAGCAAGAGCCTCCGTGCCTCAGAGCCTGACGGCTATGTTTCGAGGGCAAGGCCCGCCAAGGGGGAAGCCTCCGCACCTCAGAGCCTGAGGACTATGTTTTGAGGGCAAGGCCCACTAGCATCAGACCAAACCCTCAAGAGGGGAACTATTGGGACACGGTTATGAGTCATGGAGAACAAAGTTCGCAACAACAATAAGAACTAACGGCTAATGAGTTTTACGAACAGTGTGTAGGAAAAGGAATCAGAGGCCTCCGCTCAGGCGATCGCATGAGGCGAAGGCTGGGAAGCTACGGCGAAGGCACCAGGACGAGGTCGAGGGCGAGGCTCTCGTAGTATGAGCGAAGTCCATGGCTTGGGCGTCAGTAGCGAAGGTCGAGAAGCTCGATGAAAGGCTTCCCGAGCGAAGGCCCCGGAACTAGGGAAAGCCCCCGCTCGGTGGCATTACTGGGCCATGGGCCGATAACGGATCATCAAAGATGGCCCAACAAGCAAAGGCGGTAGAGGAAGAAGATGGTCAAACTGCCCCGGGGGCTTCTATTAGCATAGGTATATTCCGAGAATGTACTGTAACCGACAAGGGGTAGGAAATGTAAAGAGTAGCTCTAGCAAACAGTGCCCTATAAAAGGAGGACTCAAACTATGTATAAAAGGGGGGATACACATTTATGAAACCCTAATCGGGCTAGGGCCCACCTTTCATTACTCATACCTTTGCCCAGGGCACAAGGCTGGGCAAAGGCCTTCGTTGTCCTTCTTTGTCTCAATCGCTGGAAACCGAACTTTCCAACAACCTATTTGGGAGATGAAAGTTATTGTGCTGACAAGCCTTCTTTCACAATGATTGATAAAGATCAGAAATCTTCCACCCAAAAGTAAGCCTAGATATGTGAAAGGGAAAGGCCCTTTTAGCACCCAAATGTGTGGGCTAGAATTTCTAGTTTTGCATCACTAACTTTGATAGGAACCATCACGCTCTTAGAATAATTCACCTTCAAACCAGTAGAGTCAGCAAAGATATTAAGAAAATCTCTTTAGGAAGAAGAGTTGTGGTGCTGATCCCTCAAGGACAATCAAAGTGTCATCAGTATATTGTAAAACCAGGAAATCAAAGTTATGCCAAAGAGGGATGGATAACTTCAGAAGTCTAAGATTCTTAGCCTTATTCAAAAGGGACTGAAGATCAGTTGCAAGGATGAAAAGTAGAGGGGGAGTAGATCTCCTTGCCTGACACCATGCTAACAATGAAAAGTTTTCCTAGGAGCCCCGTTTAAGATCATTGTTGAAAATGGACCTCATCCATTGGAGCCATAGGAACCCAAAACCTATTTGTTGCATGACCAGTAGCATAGCCTCGTGCTCCACCTTATCAAACACTTTTTCAAACTCCAGATTAAGAATAATGAGCTCTTTCTTAGAAGCATGACACAAATGAAGGTATTCAAAAGATCATGCAATGCAGACCTGTATAGTATGGGTTCGAATGAAACCACACTGATTAGTGTGTACCAAATCAGTCATCACTTGTTGGAGCCTATTAACAAAAAGTTTAGTAATGATTTTCGTAGAGGTATTGATGAGTAGAGAAATTGGCCCATAATCCCCCACACATGTTGCATCCTCCGTTTTAGGAATCAAGGTGATGTAAGAATCATTTATACTCTGTAAACAAGTTGAATTGTTTTGAAAGCCAAGCAAAGATCATAAAAATCTGAATTGATCCACTAACTGGCCTGATAGCTTCGTCGTCATTAATCCACTAACCATGCAGCAGCAATGAAGAACGCCGAGAAGTAGTAGAGAGAAAGAGAGAATGAAAGGTGTAAAATGTGTTTTTGACAATAGTACGTTGGATTCTTTCAATAGATCGTGATCCTCTAATATATAGGAGAGGGTGGTTTTCACCCAGTAGGAAACTTCTTCTTCAATTGGCTAGGCCGGTTTTTGCATGTCGAGGGCAAAACCTTGCGGAAGCTATAATTTCTTCATCCAAACTCTAAATTAGACGGTATTTATATGTTTTTAATCATCTCGACGAGAGGAATGCAATAGTGCAATCCATTTTTCAATTTGGAGAAGTCGATAAATCTAGCCTGGCCGATTTTAGAAACCGACCATGATAGTTTCTGGTTGGATCAAGCCCTCAAATCCTGTTTTCTTCGTTCAGACTCCAAACTAAACAATCCATATATTTTTTCCCTCATATCGACAAGAGCAACACAATTGCGGGTCCATCAATGCCTTTTGACAAAGTGCCAAAACCAACTTAGCTGATTTGGGAAACCAGCTAAGCTTGTTTATGTTAGAAAATCTAAATTCAACCTCCTTTGGCACTTTTGGCTATCAACAAACTATGTATCTAAAAAACCAAAATATCTCACAATTTAGAGTGAAGAGAGTATCATTAATTATAAGAGAAATTTTACAGTGCTTGCAAAAAAGAAGAGCCATCCATTTAGATAGATCTAATGATTATAAAATAGGAAAAAATTATATAGAGAAACTTAAGTTGTGGGTCGAAACCTAAAATACATGGGTCAGGAACTAATTTCAAAATAAATTCGAAGGGTAGCAAGGTAACTTTACCGCTCTCTTCCTGCCTCCCTCTCCTAGCGACGGCGGGCTCCGCGACCCCTGGTTCAGAGTTCGATTGTTCCAGACAGAACGACGGCAGCCGAGGCAAGGAACCGGCAGCCGGGGCGCACTGCAGGAGGCCGGCGGGCTCCGGCAGCGGGCGGCAGTCAGCATGCCAGCGGCACCTCCAATCGGATTCTAGGCGCAGCCGCGCAGGTCGTGTCCAGATGTATGAATCGGCTCCACCGACGGAGCCTGCTTGCTGCGTGCTTGCGTCGTGTCTGCACTGCAGGCAGGCTTGCTTCCTGAATGGCTGAATGCATGCCTTTTGCAGATACGGGGAGGTGGTTGGTGGCGAGGAGAGCAGCAGCATACTTGCATATCGCGCACGAGCAGCAACGAACTCCTATTCCCCTTGGTTGGATTACGACGGGCAGTGGGCGCCGGTCTCCGGCGAATTAACGGGGCGGCGGGTGGCCGTCGCCGGCGAATTACTTGCTGTTGGTGAGTATCTATATGTTTGGAAGAAGAGAAAAAAAAATACTAAACTACCCTTTAGCCATACGGGAGAGTTTACTAGAGGAGCTGGTGGTTCCTCCCAGCATAGTAACAAAGCTCTAATTATAATTCTAAATAGATATACTATGAAAATATATTTCATGATACTTATTTAATATCATAAATACTATTATATTTTTTTGTTAAAGAAATGGTAAAAACTAAAGATGTATGACTTAGCATATATAATTTGTTGTTATTATTTTGTCAAACAAGTTTTGTTAGGTATTACTAGGGATGAAAACGGATCGGATACGGACGGATATCACCGATATTATATTTGTTTTCATATTTCTATCCGGATTCGGATTCGAATACGGATAGTGTCAACTATGTCGGATAGGATACGATTGGATATCGACATTATAAATATGCGATTTGAGTATTCGGATACGGTATTGGATGTTGGATATCCGGACTCGAATACGGACAGATCTCAACCCCTCTAAACGGATTCGGTTTCGAATACGGTCGTAAAATATCCGTACCGTTTTCATCCCTAGATATTACGGATATCTCTTTGCAGTGTGGGAGACAAACTCATTAGTAGGCGACTTTTTATCTGTCGTCGTTTTCTCTCTAGCACTACTAGAAATAATTTTGCACCCAACGCCACATATGGGCTAACCAATTTGTTAAATCGACATGCGCTCGAAATAAGTGAACACGAAAAAGCCGGAAGCATGTGGCCGGTCCGCTCCTCATCCTCTTGTTGGCAATTTTGGCTGCACCAATCGTGTCACCGTGCCGTGCGTGGCTCCCCAGTGCCTTGCTGTCGCCATCTATCCTAGGATTGAAGCCCGACCCGATTGGACATTGGCATTCAGAGTGCTGCTGCCTCACTATTTTTGGAGCTTCAGCTTACTATATGTTGCAGCCTTGACTCAACAGCAGCAACATGGAAGTTGGAAGCCTTCCTCACTACAAGCGTAGTTCCTTCGATCTTCCTTGGTTGGGACTTGGGAGTGTACGTAGTACGCTGCAGAAGGTCTGCTAGTCATGGCTCCCTCTCAGCTCGGCAAGGACCTATAGCCCTCTTCCTACTTCTCGTGGCTTCATGTTTCGTCATCATTAGACGCCTCCGGTCAGGGCGCAACGATATTGGCCGAGTGCTGCCGCCTTCGCCTCCTGGGCTGCCCATCATCGGCAACATGCACCAGCTAGGCTGGGGACACCACCACCGGAAGCTGCAGGCGCTCGCGCGGCATCATGGCGATATCTTTCTCCTCCGGCTAGGCACCGTGCCCGCTCTAGTGATTTCCTCTGCCTCCATGGCCGAGGAGGTCCTCAAGAACCAGGACCACGTCTTCTGTGTCCGTCCGCAGCAGCGCACGGCGCGCGGCATCTTGTACGATTGCAGGGATGTCGGCTTCAGCCCCTACGGGGAGTGGTGGCGCCAGCTTCGCCGCATCGCCGTCGTGCACCTCCTCAGCGCCAAGCGGGTCGACTCCTTGCGTGCTCTCCGGGCAGAGGAGGTCGCGTCGTTGGTGGCCCGGGTCCGCGCGGCGAGCGCCATGGAGGACCAAAGCGGCAATCGCCGAGGAATCAACGTAAGTGAGCTCATCGTCAGCTTAACCTACACTGTCATCTCGAGGGCGGTGTTCGGGAACAAGCTCGGGGGCATGGATCCCCCAAGTTTCCGCGCGATGACGAAAGAGGTAGCTGATCTGCTCGAAACGGTCGCGGTGAGCGACATGTTCCCAGGTCTCCGGTGGGTGGACTGGGCGATGGGCCTCGACGCAAGTATAAAGAGGACGGCAAGCAAGCTTGACGACGTTCTTGAAAGAACACTCGAGGCGCACGAGAAGAGCTTGGAAAATAGCGGCGAGGCTGGTGGTGACCTGCTTGACGATTTGCTTTCGGCAGTGAAGGAGGGTGGCGACGGGTTTATGCTGGACAGGATCGATGTCAAAGGAGGGTGGCGACGGGTTTATGCTGGACAGGATCGATGTCAAGGGACTCGTCCTGGTAAGTCCTAAGGATTAAGGGCTAATTTGTACCAACAAACTTTCAAAGTTGTGTATTATACTGATATAAACTTCATATTGCAGGACTTGTTTGTAGGAGGAATCGATACAGCTTCCAAGGCGATAGAGTGGGCAATGGCATTTCTTATCAAGAACCCAAGAGAGATGGAAAAAGTTCAAGAGGAGGTGAGGCAAGTTGCAGGGGCAGAAGGAGTCTTGGAGGAGCAGTTGCGGAGGATGAGCAGACTGCAGGCAGCCCTCAAAGAAGCCATGCGATTACATCCACCGGTGCCGCTGCGCTGCTCATCCCCCGTGAATCGATCCAAGACACCAAACTCCACGGCTATGATATCCCTGCCAAGACTCGGGTCATCATCAATGCATGGGCGATCGGGAGGGACAGCCAGTCTTGGGAGAACGCTGAGGAGTTCCTGCCAGAGAGGTTTATGCATGATGCCAGTGACTACAGTTGCAAAGACTACCGGTTCATACCATTTGGTGCTGGGAGGAGGGGATGCCCCGGCAATGCGTTTGCAATGCGCCTCGCCGAGCTTGCACTTGCCAATTTGCTATTTCATTTTGATTGGGAGCTGCCGAGCTGGATTCTCATTTTGCTTCATATGCTACTTGTTCAAGAAGGCGATGGGTCAAAAACTTTATTGTTGATGAATGGAATAATTGAGGTTTTATGGGTACATAAAGTCAGTCAGAGTCATTTTAACGGTGATTATAACATTGACAAGTGGAGTGAGGAGGAGCCTAGTCTGTTGAGCTTTCTTTTGCATCAAGGATTGGCACTCCGTGGACATGATGAAAGTGAAGAGTCTAAGTGTGAACAAGTCCCCTGCTGCACCGTAAGTCTGCCTTTATTCACCCTTGTCGTGAAACCCCTGCAAGTATGAACCTTTGCAGACTGCAGTAGGCACTTTTGTAAATAAATAAAGAGTACCTGTACACTTGTCTAGCTATATATACTAACAAACTCTATATATGTATGTTGATATAGAAGGTGGACAAGCAATTTATCCACATGAAAATTAGATTGGAACACAAACGAACGTGTTCTGAGCAAAGTATAACCATCGGAGGAAACAACCAGCATATGACATGTAACAAACTGAGAGGCAGAATGCCAAGCACTCTATATCTATATCTTTATATCTATATAGATTTTACAATTGTAAACCCCTCTATGGATTCTATCTCGACACATAAGTCATCTATATCATCCATCCATGCAAGTTGTCTCCGTCAGCAATCTACATCATCCCCTAACAGAATTTTGTCCATATTACTATACCAGACCATGCACTCAAATTCATTCGTGATCCTCGCAGCAACGTGCAGGGTATTCTTCTAGTTACTAAACAAGAAAACATATTGAAAATGAATATGGCACCTTTTTCTTCCTAGATGGACTGAACACGGTACCTGATTCTTATAAGTTTCAATATTGAGTAGAAACTACAAAGCACAAATAGATTTTAAGTGCATTTATCTGATTTTAATTTTTTAAGATTTGAGCTTTATAATATGCAATTAATGTTTTTAAAAATTTTTTTTGCGGGCGCATACCCTATGCAAAAATACTGGGTCCGCCACTGATGAGCTAAACTCCACGGCTATGCAGTGATCAATGCATGGGCGATCTCCGCCAGAGAGGTTTATGCATGATGCCAGTTACAGTTATAAAACAAGTGCGTTTTGCGCCTCGCCGAGCTTGCACATTGACATGCCTTGACCCTTGTCGTGAAACCCCTGCAAGTATGAACCTTTGCAGACTGCAGTAGGCACTTTTTGTAAATAAATAAAGAGTACATGTACACTTGTCTAGCTATATTTAACAAACTCTATATATGTAAATATGGACAAGCAATTTATAAAATATAGTCAATATATACTTTTATGAAAACTACATTTGAGAGGCAGAGATGAATCTACTTATCATCACTTTCATATTTTCAAACTCAACCCCAAAGAAGTTATTTGTAGTCAAAGTTTAAAATGTTTGACTTAAGACAATTCTTCAAAAACGAAAACATATTGAAAATGAATATGGCACCTTTTTTCTAGAGAATCGGAGGGATTTTAAGTGCATTTATCTGATAATTTTTTAGCTTGGGCTTATTCTTCACCTGGAAGATTTCAGTGATCACACAGATAATGGGGCCTTAAGAAATAATTGACACAAACAATTATCTCCTACCTAAATTTGCAATAATGTGTGTGAGAATATGAAATGCACTATTGCACATGTTAAATCATCCTTCACATATTCCGTGCTTCAATTCGATCTGTAGCATACCATGAGGAAACAATTTCTATATAGCCTACACAAAAGCTTGTGAATCTGCCAATGTGGTTTAGGACATGTTTGCTTAAAAAAAGCATTGATTCAGACCGACACCAACACATATTGCAATTGCTAGTATTTTCTATATAAAATGAAACAGCACAAGTTTTATTACCTCGCTTGAAAGATCACCGGATTTGACTTGATCTATCAGGTATTTAGCGTCAAATGGCTAACAGGTATGCTTGAGATTAGATTAAATTAGGACACTTTCCCTGTGGATACAAATACGATACTTTGGAATACTCTTGGGTGAAGTACTACAGTGATATTCGGTGCAGATGCAAAATTATCCATTTGAGCACAGGAAATATCAATAGAGTGGAGTTGGGAAAGATAAGGACTTTGGAGAGAATGGGCAGCAGTAGACGTATAGGACGACAAGTTGGCTAGGGTTTTGAAATTAGGAGCGGTATGCCATGCCGAACGAGAGGAGGATGGTGTGCATGGAGTGTTTATGTGAGGGTGTAGGAGGAGGAGGAGGCTCAAAGGAATGAATCACGAGAACGCGCATGGGCCTTGCCATGGTGCACAAGGGAGGTGTCAACAACACATGGATCGAGATAGCTCGTGTGCGGGAACAACCGAGGGAGGCAAGGAGACCAGAGGAGATTAGGCCCACATGGGGCACAATTTTGTGGGAGAGTCGTGGAGGCGGACCACCATCATCGTGGATGCAGGACGGGAGAGGGGCATCCCAATTGCCAAACACGGGATTACGTGCAGCCTGGATCCCAAATCTTGTGGTGCGAGGCAAAGATCGTAGACCAAGGTTAAGGCATGTGGACACGTTTCCTCGCAAGTGGGGCCGGTGCACAGGGAAGGGAGCTGAGACAAGTGTTGTGAACGGATTCCCTTAGACTTTTTTTAAGAGCAGAGTGGAGATAGTCCAGGAATCGTTCGTCAAGAAAATTCTTATATAAATTAAGATGCTGATTTGTTGTGAATTCTTCCTACTATTCATTCCCCAAGATAAGTCGAACATGGCTAAGAACCAACCAAGAGTAGAGTAGAGATAGTCACGTAATTTCAGTTCAGAAAGATAATGCGGGAGCGGGACAACAACAAAGCATGTAGCTCCTACCTCTTCCTTATCACTGCCATATATTATATTGATTGCAATTCATATTGGGAGAAAAAAGAGAGAACTACCTCGTATCAAAAAGAAAATAATACATTAATCATAATTCTTAATAGATATACTTTGAAAATTATAATTTGATCTAAGACAAATTATTTGACTATATTTATAGAAAACAATATCACTAAAAAATAATTCTTACTAAATACTTATACAATTAAAATGTATTTCATGGCAGTTATTTGATATCATAAATATTAGTATATTTTGTAAAAATAATTGGTCAAACTAAAGATAGTTTAACTTAGCATCCATCCATGATTTGGTGTTACTGTTTTTTCCGAACAATTTTTGTTAGGTGTTAGAGCAACTCCAACAGAAGAGCTATCCATGTTGTGTAATCTATATTTGACTACTTTGGGAAAAAAAAGAGTTCAACAGCTATTGTATCTGGCTTTCTAAAATAGCAAGTCATGTATCTCGAATTCTCGCATGCTAGATATAGATTGTATGTGTCGCTAGCCATTCGCCTCACCCTATTGGAAAAGGCTGTTGGAGTTTTCTATTTTTAGCTGAGGGTTTCTATTATAGAGATTAGCTAAATCATGAGGTTAGCCAACTATTTTTATCAAATATGTTCAAGTTGCTCGTACGGACATCTCTTTGCATAGTCGGAGACTGTTTACTGATTGGCGACGTTTTATCTGTCGTCGTTATCTCTCTAGCACCACTAGAGATCATTTAGCACCCAACGCCACAATGCGCTGGAAATAGGTGAACAACAAGGCTGGGAGCATGTGGCCGCACCTCATCCTCTTGTTGGCAATTTATTACTGCACTAATCGTGTCTCCGTGCCGTGCGTGGCTCCCGGTGCCTTTTCAGTCGACATCCTTGGATTCAAGTCCGATTGGACACCGGCGTTCATCCTTGTGCTGCTGACTCAGCTCACTAATTTTTTTTTGAGCTTCAGCTTATCTTCTATACCTAAACAGGAGAATCTCACTGGTATATTTTCTTGCGATTTCGTGAAGCCACGTCATTAAAAAGTCCCACGAGTTACTAACTTCTAAGTCATGTAGCTGCAGCCCAATCGTCTCCGCCTATCTATTGCTTGACCATCTCAGGCGTCTCTCCGTTAGTATCCTGTGGCCTCCCTTCATATTCTCACTTCCTCCACCCATGATAGTTGACACGCTATAAAACTGAACCATTCCTCGAGCTAGCATATAGTAAGAAAATTGTTTTCCACTTCCGCCTATCTGTTGCAGATGTTCGTAGCGTCACCACTCATGTGACCGAGAGAACACGGTAAGCGGCACCAAACAGCCCGACGCCACCCTAAGCTTCAAGGTCAATGGTGGCCTTCACAGGCTCTTGCAAGTTGAGAAGATCTGGAAATCTCGGAGGATATCTCACAGTGCCTGTTCTTCAGCAGTACTTTTCAGCGAACGAACGAACAATATTTTTCTCTCACAATAAATCAACATAAGCATCATCGTAAACCAAATTTTAGTGAAACAAACAGGGCCATAATGTACTCCTGCTTCATAAGCTCGAGCATCAGCCGCTGTCCTACTTAACAGGAATCGATGAGGGGCTCACTATGACGGTGGCTCCTCCCTCGCGTGTCTTCACAGTTCGCCCTCGATCTGAGATATGCCGGAGCAGAGGACGGAGGAGTCTGGGCGGAGAGCACACGCTTGATCCATCCGGAGGAAGGTTGGTGATGACATCGACGAAACGATATGCAAAAGCAGTGCCCCGAACGGAGAGACGGTGCTAGACGATTGGGATTTGTTGGATCTTTTATTCGTTAGCGGGCCCCACATGTATAGACCAACCCAATTTCAGTACTGTATTGTGCTATATGCGACCACCTGAGAAGCTCCAAAGGCACTTTTACATGTTGGACGTCAGTAGTTGTATGCCTTTCTCTTTTTTTTTGTCACATTTATTTTTACATCTATTTTCTTTACTAGCAAACGTGCCCGTGCATTACAACGGGATCCAATACGTATTGAAATAAGATATCATATCATTATTGGACGAGAGTGAGTTGTAGCACGGGTCATGAGTTTGAGTCAAAAATTAAATTAATTTAGTGGTAAAAATATTTGTTTCTTAAGGAGTAAAATGGTTGTGGTCTCTTATTTATTGTTGTTTTTACTCTTATTATATTTATTAGAACACGAAAAAACCAGGTGGAGAAAACCATGAAAAACAATGGAAACAAAATGAGAAAAGTCGAGCTAGTGTAAAAAATAAGCACGAGAAAAAAAAATCTGAACATACTCGAAGTCAAATAGAAAACAGTCATGACAAAAATTGAAATGTACTCTAAGAAATAGCCACAGAAAAAAAAATCAGAATATATTCGGAGCCAAAGTGAAAAGCATCCAAATCAGAACGTAAAGCAACACGTACTCAGAGCAAGTAAAAACAGACAAACCGGTAAAAAGTGAAAAAAGAACAGAAAAGAAACAAAACAAAGAAATTCCACCCTTCTTTTCTCTTTATTAGATTTCTATTCTTATACTTGTTTTATTTGGATTAAGATTCCTATTCTGATTACTCAGAGTCAGAGAGATCTAATTGGATTAAGATTCCTAGCTATCCATATTATTATATTTTTTCTATTTAATTAGGATTCCTGATTATATAAAGAGAAGGGCTATAGACGGTTTTCCACATTCACATAATTAGCTAAGGGATGGCGGACCAGAAAAATAGACCAGAAAAATAGAAAAGAAACGAAACAAAGAAATTCTACACTTCTTTCCTCTTTATTAGATTTCTATTCTTATACTTTTTGCATTTGGATTAAGATTCCTATTCCGGTTACTCAGAGTCCGGAGAGATCTAATTAGATTAAGATTCCTAGCTGTTTATATTATTATATTTTTTCTATTTGGATTATGATTCCTAGTTATATAAAGAGAAAGGCTATAGGCGGGTTTCCATATTCACAAAATTAGTTAAGGGATGACCGGTCAAAAAAAAATAGGTGGAGAGAAATTTTGTCTCTTTAATATTAGGTATAGATAAAGAGATATATAATGTTTGGTCAATAGATGCTTTATCAGGCTTGGATCATTGTTTTCTATTAAAATTTTTAGCTACATTTACGAAGAAGCCAAGGAATATTGCACATAGTATATATGTGCATTTTTCTCTACATGAAGGGAAGTGTCTAATAGTTGCTAAAAATGACATGTTTTCTCCTACGTGCAATGTTATAAAATTTTCGCAGCAACGCGTGGAGTATCATCTAGTTATATATATATATGAAGAAAGGCTAAACAACACTCAGTTGTTTCTCTCCCTCTCATTCTTCTCCAAATCCGGCGACTCTCCCCCTCTTTGTCTCCAAATCTAGCAGCCTTCGAAGGGGAAATCGGGGGAGGCAGGCCAGCGAGGTAGTGGGGACGGTGGGAGGGCGGCGTTCGGGTCCTAGGACGGTGGAGGCAGCCGGGCCAGGTTGGGGCGGAGGCGCCCATGGTCGGAGCTCGCCACGCGGAAGGAGGAGAGGGGAGGGCTAGAAGGAGGCCGCCATGGCTGCGCTAGGGTTTCGCCGGAGCTCCGCGGGAGACGACGGGGGCGAGGAGGAAGAAAAACAGTGAAAAAAATCGGGTGCTTGACACTCGGTTGTTGGATAGACAGCTCCTTGTATTTTGCAGCAGCAAGGCACAGTTCCTTCTTCCTTAATTAGTTAGGAGTGTACGCTGCAAGAGGTCTACTACTCATGGATCCTCCTCAGCTCGGCACGGACCTAGCACTCCTCCTAGTCCTAGTTCTCGTGGCTTCATGTTTCATCATTGTTATTAGATGCCTCCATTCAGGCCGCAAGAATATTGGCCAACTGTTGCCGCCTTCGCCTCCTGGGTTGCCAATCATCGTAGCTCCCAGTCTGGCCCCGCCCCTCCCTCCTCGATGTAGTCAATCAATCTCGCCTTCGTCTCCTACTGGGTTGGGTTGGGCCCTTGAGGAGATGGGGCAGTGCCGTCGTAGGGTTGCGGCTGCCACCTACACACAGCGACGGACAGCTCACCACAAATGACGCCAGTCATGACAACCCAACTCACATGCTGTTCATTCCAGCTGCCTGCCGTCGGCGGAAGCCGGAAGGTGATGTATCCACTTCCACGCCTCAGTTTCATCTTGCGATGCCTATTCGATTTGTGTAACACTGGTACATTTGGTTTCTGATTTTCGTCCGACAATGGGTCTTAGTTGTGCCGCAACTGCACATTTGTGCTTTATTCGAGCGCAAACTCTAATGCACGACGGTCGTGCTGGGTTTGCGACACTGCACGACCGTCGCACCAGCGGCGCCCCCAGCTCACCAGAGGCGGGTTAGGGTTTGGAACTCTTCCCTACTCTAGATCCCCGGCAGCAGGTTGGCCCGGCGGTGGGTGACGGTTGGTGGGCGGGGTGGCAAGGCAGCGGAGTGCCACCAGCCGTGGTAGTGGTGGAGGCGGCGGTTAGGGTGGAGCAGGGCGGGGGAGGCTCTTCAGCGACCGGTAATGAAGACGACGGGTTAGCAAAGGGCAGGGGAAACAAGGCGGCGGGGTGCTTGCGGCTGCGGCCAGTGGTGGGCGCGGGTGGGGTCACGTGTTCCTCAACACGCATGATGGGTCGCGCATAACTCTCTCCTTTTTCGAGCCTCCGATGGGACAATACGTCATATATATGTCAAAATACATGGTTTCAGATTTTTGTATTTTGTATAGCAACCTGCAGATTCAGAGAACTACTTATATCAAATCTCAGTTGGCAGTTTGTTGCTTAGGTTTTGATTCTGACCATGATCCAAGCCATTTTCAGAAACGATTACTGTACTCCTGGCCCAAGCCATGTTACCGCAGTAGTACATAAAACTGATGCATGTTGGACTGAAATTTTGCTCAATGGTACCATGCTGGATTTATCAAAGCGACTTGTGTTGTTTTATTTTCTAAAGAAAAATACTAGCAATTGCAATATATGTTGGTATCGGTCTGAATCAATGTTTTTTGAAGAAAAAATGTCCTAAACCGCATTGGCAGATTCACAAGCTTCTGTGTCTATAGAGACTGTTTCCTGATGGTATGCTACGTACAGCATTGCAAATTTGGGTAGGAGCGTGTCACCACTAAAATCTTCCAGGTGAAAATAAGCCAAAGCTATGTATATATTACTGCTTTAGGTCATTGGTCATTTTAAAAACTTATCTGTGTGCAAGCTAAAAAAATTAAAATCAGATATATGACCGTAAAGTCTATTTCCTAAAATCTTTAACAGAGACGTTCCATTAAAGTGTGTCCGTCTCTAAAAATAAAAGTCTATTTTTACAGTAGTGGCTCCGTCGCTCCCTGTTTAATGGCCCAACCGTTGGTGGGCGGAAGGCATGGTAGCACTGGTTGGTCCGGAGGATTTCCGGTATGGAAGTACTCCCTACATTTGAAATTACAAGTCTTATTTCGTTTTGTTAGAAAAATCCTTTGGTCAACAATTACTTTATTGATATGTTTTTTTTAACACAATAATGGTGCTACTCGATCATATTAAAAATACTTAGCATGTTTATGATTTTGTATCACATAGATGAAATATTATATCATTTTGTATCACGCACATAGGTCAAAGTCTTATTGTAATGAATGGCGGTATACACCTTGTGAAAATACACAGAAGGAAAGGAGAATATAGATGGATAACTTCCAAATTTAGAGAATTGTGGCCTTCTTCTATATATAAATACATGCCCGACAAATTTCTTATCAGTTGTTGTTTCAAAAAAAAAGGTTAGAGGTTGTATGTATACTAAACAATAGATGGCCTTCCACCTTATCTAACATACATAATAAGTTCTGTGTGTTCCCCTAGTTCATGCTTGCGGTGTTTTCGATACAAGGGTCAAGGGATACTTAAGACCAGGGGAAAGGCCACTCGACTCCACGACTTCAAACGACTCAAGGTTCCTCGTCATCTGGTAACTCCTAGTCAAAATGATACAACAAATTTGCTAGTGCAAGATCCGCGAGGCGCGTCCCAAAGCCAATGCCAGGGCATCCTCTCCTCCCAGCACCGAATGATATGAATCGGAAGTCTTTACCACTGTAGTCAAAGTTTGTATTCACAAACCTCTCTGGCCTGAATGCATCTGCATCCTCCCATGACTCTTCGTCTCTGCCAATCGCCCATGCGTTGATGAGGACCCGGGTCTTGGCTGGGATATCGTAACCATGCAGCTTGGTGTCTTGGACCGCCTCGCAGGGGACAAGCATTGGCACTGGTGCATGCAATCGTAGAGCTTCTTTGATGGCGGCCTGTGGTTGTGTCATTGTACTCAGTAACTCCTCTGTGACTCGTCCATGTTCCCCTACAATTTCGGCCTGTACTTTCTCCATTTCCTTTGGGTTCTTCACTAGCTCGGCCATTGTCTCCATTTCCTTTGTTCTTCAAAAGGTCTCATTAAGATTGTCCACTCCATCGTTTTCTGAAAATTTCAGAGGTTGTGCCGTGCCAGCTAGGAAAAGGTCCTTCCATTAAGAAATTTGTAGTATTGTTACAAAGGTTTGGCTTATTTACTAGCGTGGGGCCATTAATACTCAATGTGCGTGCTAATTACAATTCGTTAATTCAGTGAAGTTTATTGGAAGTCAGGGATCCACAATTTTAGTCGTGTTGACATTATGAAGGTTAAATACATGTAATTTTCAAGTTTTAATATCCACATTGGTGGATAAATTAGACTCTACCCCCTCCGTCGCAAGATAAATCAACTCCAAGAATCATCCTAAGTCAAACTATATTGAGTCTAACCAACTTAATAGTAAAAAATGACAACTCCTAGAATCGCCATGTAGTATGACATACTCCCTCTTAGTATCCATGTAAAATGACATTGCTACCCCTATGACACATCCATCTGACACTCCACTCGCCAAGACTAGCAGGTACACCGAGGGATAGAAGCCTCGGTGGGGAACAAATGAATGAGTGGAAGAGAGCAATCAAGGGCCCCTAGTGGGTTTTCTTTTCTTTTTTTAATAATATATTGTCGTTGGACTCGTCCATGGAAAGAGAAAATAAAAACTAGTGTTGCACTTCTCTCTTGTTGGTTCCATCTAGTGCTGCACGCCTCTACACGTTCAGGCCTATATGTATGGATTATTGCGGGACAAATTTTGAACCACAAAGATGCATTTAAACCAGGATGGAGGGAGTATTTTCTTGGAGTTCAACTTCAACAAGCAGACTTCATTCGTTAAAAAAAAAGTAGACTCCAAAACTAAGATCCTAAGTTCGTGTCAGAGCAAATGTAATTTTTTGACCTATTTAATTGAGTAGAAATTATGTGTTCTTTGATAAAAAAAAGATATTATATTCCTATTTGTAGGTTATTTACGAGGACACATACTGGACTCTCAAGTAGACTCCAAACTAACATCCTAAGTTCGTGTCGGAGCAAGTGTAATTTTTTTGACCTATTTAATTGAGTAAGTAGAAATTATGTGTTCTTTGATAAAAAAAAGATATTATATCCCTATTTGTAGGCTATTTACAACGACACATACTGGACTCTCTTCTGTAAGATTGTACCAACCAAAAGAAAAACGACAAACTGAGGTAGCCATTTAATGAAAAACGACAAACTGAGGTAGCCATCTCGTGTTGCTAGAGACGATGGTATTGAAGATCAACGCTAGGCATGGATGGTTGTCGTATATAGACTTATTATAATGATTAGCTTGACGTCGCGTTTTTTTGTTTTGCTTTTTCAGAGCTAACCTTTTACGTTTAGAGGCAGGAACGTACTATGATAATAACATTGATTATACTCCTTCGTTTTTTTCATGCTATAAGTTTAACTAGATTTATAAAAAATACGTATAATATTTATATCTTCTAATCTAATAAATATATTATGAAAATAGATTCAACGATTTATCTAATAATATTAATTTTTATATTTAAAATTGATTAAAGTTATTTATCGGAAAACGAGAACGACAATTATTTAGAAACGGAAAGAGCATACGCTATTTCATAGATAGTAGACAGGTATAAATTCCTCCCTTTTCCAAAAAGGAAAAAGAAAACTATAGAGGATAGTCAAGATCAATAAAATGTGTACGACAGTGAAAGGAGAACCCTTTGGCTTACGACGACGAGTCCCTTGACATCAGTCCTATCAGGATTTAAGCCCACGCCGCCTTGCTCCACGGCCGAGAGCAAGTCGTCGAGGAGGTCATCGGCATCATCCCCGCGCCCGCTGCTCTTCTCGTGCTCCTGCAGCGCTACCTCAAGAACGGCGTCAAGCTTCCTCGCCGTCCTCTTTGTCCTTGCGTCGAGCCCCGTCGCCCAGTCCACCCAGCGGAGGCACGGGAACACGTCGCTCACCGCGATCGTCTCCAGCAGTTGGCTGGTCTCCATCATCATCTTGCGGATCGCTCCGGGCTCCATGCCTCCGAGCTTGCTCCCGAACGCTGCCTTGGAGATGACAGTGTAGGTTAAGCTGATGAACAACTCACTCACATTGACCCCTCGTCGGCGCTTTCCACCGCCGTCGTCCACATGGGCGCTAGCCGCAGCGCGGACCCGGTCCACGAAGGACGCGACCGCCTCTTCCCGGAGCACGCGGAAGGAATCGACCCGCTTCGCGCTGAGGAGGTGCACGACGGCGATGCGGCGCAGCTGGCGCCACCGCTCGCCGTAGGCACTGAAGGCAACGTCCCGGCAGCCGTAAAGGAGGCCACGCGCCGTGTGCTGCTGCGGACGGCCGCAGAAGACGTGGTCTTGGGCCTTGAGCACCTCCTCGGCCATGGAAGCTGAGGAGACCACGAGTGTGGGCACGGAACCAAGATGGAGGAGGAAAAGCGGGCCGTGGCGCCGCGCCAGCTCCAGCAGTGTCCGGTAGTGGTGGCTCCGGCCGAGCTGGTGAAGATTGCCGATGATGGGCAGCGCCGGAGGGGAAGGCGGCAGTACTCGGCTGCCATCTTTGCGGCCTGATGACCTGAAGCTTCTTACGATGACGAAGCAGGAAACCGCGAGGACGACGACAGAGAGAAGCAGGTTAGAGTAGTCGAGCTGAACGGGAGCCATCAGCCACGACTCCACGAGCATATAGCGATGCTTAGCGGCGGAGCTCAGGAGTGAGGAGTGAATTCAGCAGTGGCCAATGAATAGATCACGTAGAAATTAGATTATGCTAGCTTTAAGGACGCTTGCAATGCATTTTTTGCCACATGACACAAGAGGACACATGCAAAAAAAGGGACGGGCGCTGTACGTAGACTCAAGAGATAAGACATGTGTGAATGATAGTACAAGTGTACAACAACCTTCTCTATCAATGAAATATGCATAATCTCGTGCCCCTTCATTCCAAACACTAGAAGCGAAGCACACCGCGACAACCGCATCGCTATTTTTAGATAAAGGACAACCGGATTGCTATGTTTGAGAAATGAGATCCACATATAAGATTCAAACTAATAGGAAACGATAGCGAAAATACAACAAACGAGATTTTTTCAGACCAGAACCTTCGTGCAGCAACGAGACTAGAGGTGGGATTTGGATCGTGTCGTACGTGCCAGCATGGCCCTAATTTTTTATAATTTGGCTCTTTTTTGAAGAAAATTTTAAAGAAAATTTACGTTTAGCCTCTAGGAGACTTAAATTCGTCTTTGGACCCTGTGGGTCGGTGCCAGGAATCATGGCACCGAGGTAACACGTCTCGGCGTCACAGATCTTGGCGTCGAGGTGCTGCCGAGCACAACAAGCCATCCTAGGTGGCGTTCACGTGGCCGGCACCTCGACGCCCACAGATCTTGGCGCCGAGCATTGATTCAAAACCAGCGGCGCGCTCTCTCTCTCTCTCTCTGACGTATGTACTTATGAAACAAGCTCTGTCTCTTCCTTCTCACCGCCGCCGTCTCTCATACCTTCGTCTAAAGCCACCACGACGATCGCGCCTCCTCATCGGCCGTGCAGCACCTCGGTGCCACCACGGCCGCCGGCCCCTCCTCTCCCCCTCCCTTTCCTCTCCTGCACCCTGCACAAGAATCGCTCCGCCAGCGGCAGCCGCCCGCCCTACCACTCCGTCATTGTGTCTGGCTTGCCAGCCCGATTCAAACCCTCCTCGCCCTTCCTCCTCCTCATCTCTGTTACATGGCGAGGGCGGCCCGCCACCGCTCGCCAGAGCTCCGTCGGCCGGTGGGCTCTCGGGCCTGCCTGCCCTGCCCCTCAGGGTCCTCGCCCCCCTCCCCTCCGGGATTGTCTTGCGATAGCCCATCCAGGTAACTTAAATTAGTTAGTAATTTTTTAGTTAACTTAAATTAGTTAATGTACTTTAGATAATTTAGTTAGTGATTTTTTAGAATATTTAGCAAATTTAATTACATAGGTTGAAAGTTAGATGCTTATTTATTTAGTTATATTATATACTTAGGAATATATGTATGTAGCTTATTTAGTTAGATTAGATTGTTAGAGATATAATTAGGGAGTTAGTTACCTATTGATTTAGTTAGCTAGTTAGTAAGTGTAGTTACCAAATCTCTTATCTTGTTATAGAGATAGTTAGGCAGTTAGATACTTATTTGTTTAGGTCGATAGTTAGGTAATTTAGTTAGCAAATGTAGTTAGATATTATGGTTAGTTATCTTTTAATAATATACCCGTAATAACTTGGTTGATGTGCATACCAACTAGATGGACAACGTAGTCACCCTGTATCATGGAGGAAGTGTGGAGGAAGATGAGTTTGCTAATGTTAGTTTTGTTGGAATGCAAAGGGTGCTAGTGATATTCGATGATCGGCCATTGTTTTGTGAGTTGTTTGGTAGGGCTCGTGATGAGCTTAAATGCAATTCAAATGAAGATGCCATCTTAGTTGAGGGGGTACTTCACTATGGCAGGTCAAAGACAATTTTGAGGCAGTTGGTCCCAATTGCATCAGAGGCTCAATGGGACAAATATGTCAAAATTGTCATGAAGAATGAGTTTTAATGTTTGGATTTGGTTCTACAAAAGTTGTCCAATGATCCCACCCCTCATTGGGATTCACCCCCTAATGTTCATTCACCCCCTCATGGATTGTCGCCAGCACCAGAGAATTCGGCACCCTATGAGCCTCTGTTACCCAACCGTGAGGTGGATGTGGAAGATGCGGTTGTAGTGCCCGATGCTCAATCCGCCCCCAATGAGGTTGGTGTATGTCCTGGTGTCCGTGCAGAATGTGGGACTGATGATATTGTAGGCGCCCCTCAGGAGATCTCTTTGACCTAGAATCATCCTAGTAAGTGATTTAGTAACACTTTGTGTTGGGTTCATAAACCCGGGGTCCCTCGGGGACCGGCTTCTACGCCAAGGCTCGGCCCAAGCAGACAACACGTAACTCACGGGCCGGCCCAAGAGTCTAAAAACAATAGGCCGGAAGGGTGGTCCAGTCACCGACCGGAAGGTCTGGCCGAAGAGGAACAGTGCCCGCTCATCGACTACTTCGGCCCACCTCTCTGACCGGAGCGCTCGCTTCGGACTCCAGCCGCCTCCGGATGGCCTCTCCAATCGGAAGGCCTGGCCCAAGCACTACTGCCGACTCTGACCCCGCATCTTCGACCGGGGTTCGTAGAAACCCTACTCACCGCTCTTCTCCGACTGGCGCGACCAGAGCCGACTGGGGCCATCCGACCGGGGACGCCCGCTCCGAAAGGACCAGGGGACGAACGAAGAAAGCAAGCCAGGGCGCACAAGTCAAACCACGATACCAGGGACCATAGCCTGTACGCTTGCAAGAATAGTACTCTGCAACCGCCCTAACACAAACAGTAATATAGGCGCCGACATTTCCCTCTACAGTATTGTGGGCGCCATTAACTCCTATACGGTAAGGCCCCACATGCCTCTGGGCATCGATAGTATTGTGGGCGTCAGGATTTACCGTACCAGGTGAACGTGGTGAAACTCCTCACATGCCTCTAGGCATCAAACAGTATTTGCAGGTACCGACATCAACCATTCCTGAAGAAGGCAACGCAACCTCCCACAGGCATCTGACATTCTACAGTGACATCAATAGTATTGTGGGCGCCTACCATTATCTTGTACCCGCCGACATGGGCAACAAAGCTTAGTAGCATACATACCCTCACCCTCTCACTTGTGAAGCCATCCTCTTTATCTATAAAAGGGATGCGCTCCCTCCAACGAAGGAGAGTCTTTTTAATTAGTCAACATCGATCAAGTTCACTAGCTCACAACCACAGAACCGCCGGGTTCGAACCTCAGGCACACGCTTGAACACTTAGCTCATAGCGTAGCTCCTATCGCTCTTGGCCCTTCCGACCAGAGCCGGCCGGACCTCTTGTACACCCCATCTTTCTCCTTCTCGTTTGTAACCCCACTGCAAACTTCGAGCACCTAGGCTCAGGAATAAAGTCACTGACCGACCCAACCTGGATGTTGGGCACGTTGCCTAAATCAGTATAAACCCTGTGTCATTGAGTGCTAGGCCACCTCCGATCACAACGTACGGCAAAACTACAAATATTTACTAGTTGGTCACTTTCTGCACCGACAGTTGGCGCCATCCGTGGGGAAGACGTTGTACGTTCAACACTTTTTGGTGATTGGATGGCCTACTTTTCCACCACCCTCGCCGTGGCGGGCTCGGGCGATACGATTTGCTTCGGCTTGCTGGAGTTTCCCGCACTCTCACCTGTTGGGATGTCGGCTCCACCCGACTTCGAGCCATCCCAGGCCTTCCTCTTCGGAAGCCTGGACTTCGTCACCGACTAGCTTGGCGTACTACACCTCCGCGAGGAGGCTCACGTCTCGACACCCGTCGGAGGGGCGCCCTCCATCGACTCCGGGACGCGCGACTTCGACGACGCGGCATCTGCGCTTCATTCCGAGCACACTCTCTGCTCAAACCCCACTGTAAGTAATATGCGTACTATTATTTACTCTTTATTTACTATCTCCCACCGATCACCTGAAGGGACTGTATGCCCTACGCCACAAACACCGTACGATCGGTTCCCCTACGGCCTCGCGTCCTCCGTGGACGTGTATGCTCGGGGGCTTCGAAGGATGCTAGCACCATCCCCCCTCGCATCCGAATTCATGTGAATGGCAGGCTATGCTCCTGCCGTTTTCCACGAACTCCCGGATGACGTGGGCGAGAGCGACGGTTCTAGCATCGGCGATGTGGCACCCCACCACCGTCCGTCCCGGGAGTGCGCTATGGCGGACGCTTCGGGACAGCTGCCGGTGGTTGTGGAGTCTGCGTAGACTCACACCCCTCCGGACCCATGTGCGGGGGCCCTCGCGTCTACACAAGCGCACGCTGAGGAATTACGACAACGGCAGCAGAACCACCCGCTGCCGACGCCGGCGCAGTCGGTACAACACGTTGCGCCCCATGCACATGGCCCAGCGGGTGGCGCCCGGGGTCGCGCCCGTCAGGTCCAACACGACATCATAAATGAGGGAAACGATCTCCCACAATTTGCCCGAGCTGGCCAGAACATCGCTGTTGCGGCAATGCTTCTGCGCGGCGTTTCCGAGCCTGTCGACCCCCAGGAGCGGGCAGTCTACCGAAACCTCCGGGTTCTAGTAGAAGTTGCCGCCGTTCAATAGACCAAAAGCTCCGCGTCGTGACTCCAACCCGCGCCCTCTCTCCCCACTATGGGAACGGGGACGCGCCAGACGGATCGCTCCATTCGCTCGCCGCTACAGCCGTCAGGCGCGGCTCGGGGGGCGACAGCCACGCCACGATCTGACCTGGTGCCTGCTCCACACTGACCGCCGGTACACGAGCGGTCCGATCCACACCAGGATGCTCGTAGCATCATCAACAACCGGCATCGGGCCTGACACGATGATGATGTCCACCGTACGGCGGTAGGCGACACGGATCCTGGCCGAACCATCGAGGGGAGCGATGAAACGCGCCCCAGGCGCGGTTGCCGGCCAGACGACCGGAGCCCCAGCCCTGAGGGCCCGGGACCACGGGCCTTCAACCGACGTATCCGGAGAGCACCGTTCGCGTAGCGTTTCTGACCACCCGCCAACATCACCAAATACACCGGGGAGAC